AACTGCAAATGATATTATCGAATGAGGCAGACTGATGACTAAGGAAAGTCACAATGTAAGGCCGGGTTTTCTACAGTTTACGGATTGACTTGAAATAATGTTTCTTAGTACTTAATAGTGGACCTCCACCAAAGTAGTATTCCCCGATTGAATACATTTTAACATTTCAAACAACATTTCACTAGTCTTGGTGCGCTCTAAACCTCCTCAGGGAAGGACTTTAAACAGTGGGAATTACGGTCTCTAGACTCTTAAAGATCAGCAGTGCTTTTTAATGGTCATTTGGAAGTACACTGCAAATAAGTATTTACTGTTAAGGAGCGACATACCCATCGCCGAGTATTTAAGTTTGGCACACAGACAACCCCATATAAATTCGAAATCAAAAGACTTGTCTTTACTGTACCCTTACACAAAAGGATGGAAATAGCTTCTTGAACATCCGATATCGAACTAAAGGTTTAGACAAAGCCGGGAAGGACTTTGGTGTCTTTCCAAGGGAGTCAGGGCAAGGAGAGGTATGAAGCCAAAGAACTTACCTGCCATCAGACCGGCGACATTATCAATCCAGTCCAGGTGGATTTTCCTCTCCCACCGTTGAACTTTCGTTCCTTTGGCCTTATCAGCCATGTGTTGAAAGAGTGACCAGGGTTTTTCAAAAATCAGGATGCACGCCTTACACCAATACATCTGTCCTGGCTCAAGAGCAGCCTTTGACTTAACGCACTTCACGTGATCACCCTCCTTCTCGAGGAAGCATTCAAGGTAATGGTCTTTCAGCAGATTGCAGTAGCTTTCGTTTCCACGCCGATCCAGCACACGCTTGCAGGACCCTGAAGAACCAAAATAATTCCAAGTTAGAATAGGCTTTTAAACGTCCCATGCAGGCTAAAAGGCTCTGGTCTGAGGATAGTAAACAACGGGGACGGGAATTTTATTTGCCTAGCATTTTGGATAAAATTTCAAATTTGCAGGCAGTTTCACAAGTGTGTTTCAATATTTCGAGGTTTTTTATTTGAAACTGCAATTATGGCTGGATCGGCTTGTCGCAGGTAAGTCTTTATGCGCTGTGACTTTATCACCCGTATTTTTCATCGGCGTGACTATGGCTCACGTTCTGGTTCACTGATACCGTCACTTGAAGCTGCGCTCCCTCTCTGACTAAGCACTCTGTCCAGGACAAGGTTCAGCCCTAAACAGGGAGAGGAAAGTGGCTGCGATTATTGTTCGTGAACTGCATGACTCAGCAATTTGACCTATTTCAGCAGCCTATAAATATTGCAACCATCATCTGTTGCCGTATCTGATGATGGCTTCAAATACGAGTTCGAAAAGCCAAACAAAAAATATCCTTTTTAAACAAAAATCGGATCTCCTTTTACTCTACTGCTTACTGGAAATCGGCTTTTCCCTGTATCGGCAAGTGCACCATAAGATCTTCTAAGAACAGACCCTGTCGGTGCCGATAGGAAGAGAACACCAACTTAAACTTTGTAGTTCATTATTTCCCAGAAATATGGGCTTAATTATATTGTGATGGCCTGCACCACTGTAAGTTTGGGGACAGAAACACCGAGACTTTATGACGTAGAAATGATTTTTCGGAATAAGAATGTTACTTTGGAGACAGCATAAGACGCTTGTTTCAGCAATTTGTTTGTGCGTGACGTGCTCCGATCAGTCCGACATTGGGAAGCATATGTCTTTAGAGAGGCCTCTACTTATGCGTCGATACTAACGTGTTGCCGCAAGGTGTTTCATAAGCTCCGCTCCCCGGCAAAACCTTTTCGCTATCTAATTCCCCGGCCCGTCCATATATTATAGTAGAACGGCCTTAAGG